AACAAAGGATATAAAATGTATAACATGTATTTTTTGAGTATATTATACATGGCTACTATATTTTACATCATTTCTGCTTCTCCCTTTTTCCCCTCCAGCTCCTTCCACAGCCCCCATCCCTCTCAAATTCCTCATCATCTTTAATTATAATCATTACATATAGGTATACATATAATGAATGCAATCTGGAGGCCCTGTAGTATTGCCATAGGTGTATGTGTTTGGAGCTTACCACTTGGGAATGGATAACCTGTCAGAGAGCTCGCCCCTAAAGATGACTGATTCTTCCTCTCTTGACAACTATTAGTTACCTTAGCTGTTTATCTAGGAGTAGGGCCTCGTGATATTTCCCTCATCCTCACGGGCGTGTAAACTGGTGTTTAGACTACCATAGTGTTGTGATTTCATAAGTGCAACCTCCCTGTCAAGAACAGAACTATCTCATAGCAGATCTCTGGTACTCTGGCTCTTAGAATCCTTCTTCTCTCTCTTCCATGATGCTCCCCAAGCCTTAGGAATAAGGGTTGTGCTGTAGATGTACTGATTAAGTCTGGGTGTCCCACAATCACCTGCTCTCTACATTTTGACCAGTTGTAGATTTTATACTCATCTCTATCCCGCTATAAAAAGTTTGATGAGGTATGAGAAACACACTCATCTGCACATAGAAAGATAATAATCAGAATGCAGTTGGGGGTTAGCTGGTTTAGGATAATGGCAATAGTATGTTCTCCTCTAGGATCTATGGTTTTATCAGCTAAGGGTTGTTACCTGGGTTTACAGTGCATGAATTCTCTCCTATTGAGCAGGCCTTTAGTTCAATTAGACTTCTGTTGGTTACTCCAAGATAGAAGTGCCACTATTGCACCTGTTGGAATATCTTGCTACGCTGGTCCTTATTGTGGCTCCTAGGCTGTGTACCTGGGTAAAACTAATGATCATTTTTATTCCTTGGCAGATTACATAGCACTTTCAGATATTATAAAAGGTAGTCCTCAGGGAGGAAGCTTCTGAGTTAGCTCTAGCTCAGTTCCTTCAAGTCCTATGTCCAAAGTATTGGTATCTTCAGAAATATGGTCTTATCTTCAAGTTCTGAGATATAACCAAGGGCAGTGGCAATAGCCTATATCAATTTAGAAGTCTCTTCTAAAACAACAAATGGTGGAATGTTAGGTAATCTGTTAAGGGGAGCATTATCACCCCGAAGTGATATAACTCATTCAACTTATTATGTATATATGTATATACATACATCTGTATATATTATACATGTATTTTTAAGTAAACATAAAATATCTTCCTATGGCTTTTCAAGCATCTGGTTTTATGTATCCCACCATGTTACCCTTCCTCCCACTTCCCAGTCAACTGCTTTGCTTTTTCGTGCTTCATGACACTTGCGTTCTGCTGTGCCCTCTCTAGAGCCCCTTCTCCCATGCAGTGAACAGCTGCACTCCCTCACACACCCCCTCCACGATGGGCTGCTTCACCACAGGCCCAGGGCAACAAGGCAGCATGACCATCGGCAGAAACAACCATAGCAGGAGCCCAGACACATCTTTCCTCCTTATAAGATTATTTTCTCACGTGTCTGTGGAGCAACATGGCTTTGCCCCTTTTTTGAAATTTAGGAAGACTTGGTTTGTGGTCCTATCACATGATCTGGCTTGGGGAATTTGCAGCATGTTGGTCAGAGGAGTGTGCAGTCTGCCATTGGTGAGTGGACTGTTCTCACACATCTTTTAGGCTCTGTCGTATGGCTCAATTGCCGTATTTCTTTGGTTCCTGTCTGGATGATTGAGAAAATTTGGTACTGAAGACCTCCATCTATTATTGTATTGTAGACTGTTATTTATCCTTTTAGGTGGTCTTGTGGTAGACACATATATATTTGTAATTGTTATGCCTTCTGCAGAGTTTTTTTATTAATGTCTGATGACATTTTTGCCTGTCTTTGTGCTTTTTATTTAAACTATTCTTTATCTGGTGTGAGTATCATAATCCTGCTTTGTGTTTGTTTGTTTGTGTGCCATGTCTTTTTTTCTAACCCTTCATATTGAGTCTACAGCAGTGGCATGAGAATTTCTGTAGATGTTTCTGTTTTAGGTAGCATATAGTTGGATCTTGATTTCTGGTTTTGTTATTGTTGTTTAATCTGTTTGGCTGGTCTGTGTCTTCTAGTTGAGAATTTAATCCCTCTACACTCAACATTGTTGATGATTAAAAGCTCCCCCTCTTGTTTTGTTAATTGTTTCCTGCTTGTTGTGGGTTTCCTTCTGATGACTTACATTTCTGACCTGTTATTGTTTGGTTCTCTTTCTCTTTTATATTACTATTCTTCTAGTGAGTCTTATGTATCTGTGTGTTTTCATGAAGGTGCTAACTGGCCTTTTGTTTCTAGTATTTCCATGAGCATCTTGTTAGCCTCCTCTCATAGTGATGAATTCTGTGATTTTGCCTGACAGATTACTGGGTGCATGACTGGCAGGGTTTGGTTTTTATTTTTTCTTTTAGTGGAAGTTCTTATTTTCTTTTAGAACTTTAGTTATATCATTCATCCTTTCTAGCCTGTAAAGTTTCGTCTGAGAAATCTGTGTAAATCTAATGGAAATTCTCTTATAGGTGACAGGAAGCTTTTTGTTTGCTGCTCTGTTTTGTTTTTGGTATCTTTATTTATATTGCACTTTTACCATCTTTTCTATAAAGTGATTTTTATTGTTGTTGTTTTGGGTTGCTTTTTGTTTTTTGGTCAAATCTAATTGGGTCCATTGAGTTCCTTAGAGTTGAATGTTTGTACCATGTTGAAATTCAAAAATATTTTTTGCAATTGCTTCATGAAGTAGATTTCCAATGCTCTTTTCCTTCTGGAACTTCTACTTTCTCATTTTTTCATGTCACTTTGTAAAATTTCCTTAGCATAATTCTTTTGTGTTCTTTCTATGGACTTTCTTCAAACTGGGATTGTTTCTGGAGGGAGGGGTCTTCTTTATTTCTTATATTCATATACCGATGCCTGTGCATCTAGTGAAAGAGCCGCCTCTTCTAATTTTATAAAGCAGTTTTCTTAGAAAAGTATTTTGTTTTATTTATGTTGGATGTGTGGTACCACTTGGGTAGGTCTTTTGCCTTTGTTATGGGTGTGCTCAAAAGTGTAATCTGCTCGTAATTTGGTTGACTATGGCGATATCAGCAATGCCTGTTACCAGTCTAGATGATAGTGATTATGACTTTGAAGTTCACAGAGGTTCCTAAAGATGTGTGTTCTCAGGCATCACAGCATGTAGCGCTCATGGCACTGGGGACTGTGATGGCAGCTGCCACAATCTTGTGACCCAAGATGTAGAGTAGACTGTCCTAGACTCAAGAATAAATACAAGTGACACAAAGGATGTAAGAAAAAATAGTTCCTGAGTCATAGAATGTGAAGGAGAACCCTCTCTGGGCCCCTTAGGATGAACTCAGGAGGTGCCTGGGCCTAAGGAAACAACTCTCGCAGTTTTGAGTTACTGGATGGGAAAGACCTTTCCCATTTCCCATAGGATGAGCCCAGTGATAGCAGGTACATGGCATTGGTGACCACAGCTTCATGGTGTAATTGTGAGTTTTTCTTGGGCATGTAGTACGTACTGTAGCCGTTTCTCGGAGCTGTGGAGCCTGGGTGGTCTTCCGTAGGTCTCCAGAGACAAGTGCAGATGACACCAGCACTTTGGCATCAGTGTCTGTGGTCCACAGACCATGACCTGTGGAACGTACCTTTCCTACATCCCCTGGAGTGTATTCAGATGGCATGTGTGCTCACAGTGCTATTACCCATGTTCTTGATGGAACTATGGGTACCACTAGAGCATTGGCATTTATAGCTATAGGAAATGGATGAAGAGACAAGTATAGTTGATTCAGGGACTGTCCACACTAGTAACTGCAGTCCCAAGGAGGAGACCTCCCCTAGTTCTGTGGGACTTCGTGCTAGGTGTCTGTCAGGCTCTTAGTGAAGCTATAGGGTTCTTGAGGGCCTGCCAGACACCCTGTGAAGAAACACAGGTTTCAAGGCTTTTAAGGTAAGATAGTGTCTAGCAGTAACTCTTTTGCGTGGCATCTAGACATTGGAAGAGTCTGTGTTCCTTCTTTGGGGCAGTCAGACAGCCCACGAGCTTCTCTTAATCCTTTCTTAGGACCAAAGAATTCTGAAGCTTCCCCCACTTTTATGATTAGGTGGTTGGCACCTTGCCTCTTACCTTTTCCCTACAAAGCAGAGTACCCCTGCCTCCTAGCCAGGGACCTAGTGTTAAAGCTGTAGTTTGCCCCACTATGTAGGGTGTCTGTCTGATGTCTCATTGTATTTGGGGATCCAGGAATCTTCCTTGCTGATTTCCAGCATTCTTCTTCAACCACTCACCCATGGCAAGGTTGAGCACAAGGTGAGGGTATTCAGCTATGCCAGATCTCCCTACAGGGGAGGGAGCTGCCTTTCAGTTAGCAGCTTCCTTCCAACAAGTCTCAGCTTCCCTAGTGATTGTACGTATGGTATGTATAGGCTGTTAAATTTCCATTACAAAGCTTTCTATTTCAAGTCATAAATCAATACTGGGAGGATATGAGTTAAATATCTGTCTCTATCTTTAACTTTTAGACGATCATAAAAATAATCCCAGACAGCCCATTCTCAACATGTCATGCATATACAGCTCTGTTCAATTCCCCATGGTTAAGTTAAAAAAGAAAAAAACTCTCCCCAGGCTTTGCCTCACCTGCTTCCCCTCTTGTGTGCAAGAATCCATTCCTACTCAACTTCAACACTCCTCCTGCAGCTCTGCCTCCACCTCTGAAGCCCATCCTGTCTGTCTTCACTCCAGCTAATCAGCCAGTCTTGTGCAAGCTTTGAGACCTCCCCCCAAATGCCATGTTTAGAATGAAACATACTAACATGGATACAGTCAAATACACAGCCTTCGTGAATAGAGGTGTCTGGTTTGTTTATTAATTTTTTCAATTGCCAAAAATCTAAGATAGTTTAATGCCAAATTCACTACTCTGAGAGACTATCTTGGTTGCGTGGGAGCAGTTTGGAACCTATTGAACAAATAATTAAAAGATTTTATCTGCACTTCTAAGAGGAAGTGATGGTCTGTTTCATAGAGTTTAAGAAACGGTGTTTTTTTTATTATTATTAAAACACATGGGATCTGCATAAACACCTACGTGGCTTTTGTGTTTCTACTTTATAGGAAATCAATGTGTTGACAGTTGCGTTGGTTAACCAAGACCGAGAGAACAATACTGAAAAGAGAAGCCAAGGCTTAAAATCTGAGAAGGAGGCCCTGCTGATAGGTAAGAAGTCTCTTCTTATTATCTATTTACAAAAGTCATCCCCAGATAACCAACTTGGGCAGTATTTTAGTAATTCACTTACACCATGCTGACAATTGAAACAGCAGAGCCTCCCAATCGGAGGTGACTTTGTCAAGATTACCCAATGTGCATTTCAAGTGAGGGTCATGCGGACTGGCTGAGCTTCCTCTCATCAGGAACTGGGAACATTAGGTAGCTGTTGGACAGAAATCAAGGTTCAAGAAAATAGGTTAATTTGCATCTTTTGGGTCATAAATCTGAATTTCAAAATTTAAAAAGAGGTCTGATTGGTTCTTGTCCAAAAGTTCACAAGTCAACCCAGATTTGAAGGCAGTTTTGAACCTGGGGATGAGCCTGTAAGCCCCTTAGCGGAGGCTGCACCCCAAAGGCAGCCCCAAAGCCAGATGCATAAAGCTGATTATTAATTTCTGTATCCAGAGTGATGACGTCCAGATAATCGGGAGAGTCTAAATCAGACTCCCATATCCACGGTCAAACAAACAAGAGAAGCTGGCCCTAATAAAGAGAAAAAGTGAGAAAGTTATTGTTAACTGCAGTGTCCTCTTGCCCTGAAAGATACTGCCAGGTTGGCTTTTTCTTTGTCTGGGCTGAGACAGAACGCTTGTTTCTTAAATCGTTATCCAGTTGGTGCAAGCTGCATGCTTACTCTTCCAGGAAAATGTCCTTGGGGGTGGTGTGTTGGTAATGTGCTTGGGACCCCACCTTACTATCCTCCCCATAACCCAAGAAGAAAGGACTATTCTTTACCTGCGACATATAACCTTGGTCCAAGCTGCACCTTGGCGGAGACCGCAGTGTGGAGTTCCAGGTTCAGCCTGGTTCCTCTGCAGAGTGGTTGGTTAATGGGGAGGGTCGAGGCCACAGCACACGTAGCAAACTGCTCTCCCCCAGGTCATTACCTGGCAGACGCAGCAGCCTCTAAATATTGCATCAGCTCTCACCTGAAAATGACGGGTGCACTGAGGCCTGCAGAAGCTGGCACAGGGGGAATTCAGTTCAAGAGGTAGTCCAAACTTCATCCATCACGTATAGATTTTTCAACTACGAGGTTATTGAATATGACATCAACTTAGAGATACTCCAAGGAAAACCAATTATTTTCTCTCTCTCTGATGATATACAGCTGTAATAATATGCTGTGCACACATCTCAAAAGACATGCTGATGTGCTGTCATACCCAGAGACCCAAAACGAGCCCATATGTAGATTCGAACTGGCTTCTTCTCCCCTCCGAGAATAGTTCCAACTCCGACAACTGTTCTGTATGACTAAGATATGATTATTGTCCCACAATCCTCTGGTCTATGACCAAACTCAAAACAATCCCTAAAAAACTTTCTAGAAGTGTGAAGAACAGTGACCAACAGACCCCCACTTTAATTTCCTTCTCACTGGAGGTTGCCTCCTGTTACAAGGAGGAAGGCCCCTTGTTTATCCCTGCCGCCTGGCTAGCTTAGCCCCCAAAATAACCACACAGAAACTGTATTCATTAAAACACTGCTTGGTCCATTAGCTCTAGTTTCTTACTGGCTAATTCTTACATCTTAATTTAACCCATTTCTATTGATCTGTGCATCACCACATGACTGTGGCTTACCGGCAGGATTCTAACTGGTGTCCATCTCCGGCAGAGGATCCATGGCGTCTGCCCTTCTTCCCAGCATTCAGTTCTGTCTTCTCCGCCTACCTAAGTTCTGCTCTATCAGGCCCAAAGCAGTTTCTTTATTCATTAACCAATGAAAACAACACATGAACAGAAGAACCTCTTACACCAGCTTCCTATTGTATTTTATATTCTCCTTGGAGAATGCATTGCATTTGTGATGTCTCCTGAATAGTTCTGTGTATAAAATATATGTATAGTATAAGATATATGTGTAGGTTACACATGTTTATATGCACATATTTTAGTCAGTTTTCACAAAATTTTAAATACATGCATAATTATTATACATTCTAAATTATTCATAATTTGTGTGTGTGTGTGTGTGTATGCATGTATGCAAATACCCATGGAGTTCAGAGGAGTTAGATGCCCTGAAGCTGAAGTAAGAGGCAGTTGTGAGCTCCCTGACATGGATGCTGGGAATCAAACTTGGGTCCTCTGTAATACACAATCTTAACTTCTGAGCCATCTCTCCAGCCCCCAGTTATTGTACATTGATGGGAGTAGACAGGGGGGTTTGGTTTATAGCTTTCTATCTCTGCTAATGTCTTCAGTCTCAGAACAAAAAAATTAGCTATTATAGTGTAATAGAAAGAAATATATGAGGATGTCAGTATCTTCAATAAAAGCATGCACAGAGACTGAATGTTCCCCTCACGGTCTGTCTTGGAGCCAGCCTACCTGTAAACAGTGAATTGGAGTAAAAGAAAGCAAGGGATAAACTCATCTCAAATCACTATATGTGAACCTTTCTGCTATAAAGGATGTTGGGGACTGTAATGTTTGATAAAAACAAATGACCAATTTCTCCTTTCAATTCTCTATTGGTACTTTACCTTCCTCTGGTGATAGCATGGCAAAACATACAACTTCCTCCCTGAACCCACCTTCCAGATAGCCATATTTATATTCTTATAAAATTTAGAATTAAATGAGAGCAATCCTTCTGACTCCCAAAAAGGATTATGGAGGAGTATCTTCTAGCGGGGCAGTAGATCCTGTGGAAGGCTGCCATTGCCTCTGTTATGAAGGCCCCACCATCTTAGTTACTGTCCATGACACTATGGTGAGGTATCCCGATACAAGTGGCTTAAGGGAGAAAGGACTTAATTTGGCTCACAGTTTTGAGGTGACAGTCCTTTATGGTGGAGACACCGCAGCAGGAGCATGAGGTATGATCACGTGTGGAGACACAGCAGCAGGAGCATGAGGCATGATCACGTGGTACCCACAGACAAGAAGCAGACAGAGACAAATGTTTGTGCTCAACTCGCTTCCTCCTTTTTGTACTGTTAAATAATATTTTTATCCATTCTTAGAGCATTCCATACAGAGTCTCTCGATCATACCCACCACCCATTCTTACCCCCAACTCCTTCCAGATCCTCCTCCACATCTGTTTGAGGAATCCACCTTGCAGCAGACATCTTGGTCCTCTGGCTTTTGCAATCCCCCTCCCACCTCCCATGGTGCTTGCAGAGCCTTATATATGCAGGGTGCCTCGTTAATGTGTGGATCTGGGGTAGTTATCCCACAGTCAGCTGATCTCTTCATTTTAACCAGGTGTGACTAATTATTTTAGTCTGCTGCAGAAACGAAGGCTCCTCAATGAGGCTGAGAGCTACACTTAGCTGCGCTAGCAGGATATAAGCATTGACAACACAGTTAGGAATGACGCTGGCTTAGGGAAGTGGCAAGCAGTGGGTTCTCCTCTAGGTCCCATGTCCTCACCAGCCGCAGTGTTTGCCTAAATTGCCAGGGCCAGGCGTGAATTCCTTCCTACTAATCAGTGGGTGTTAAGTCCTAATAAGGGGCGATCGGTTACTGTTGCGTCTCTCGGAATATCTTGCTGCGCTGGCCGTTGGTGTGGTTTGTGACATCACAACTGGACAGGACTATAGATGCCTTTCTCCCCGGAGGCCAGCATGGCCTCTTCTGATGCTGTGAGAGCTGGTCATCAGGGAGGAGACTTCCAGGTCAGATCTAGACTGATTCCTCCAAATCCTGTATGGCACATATATTGTGACTTCAGGGACAGGATTGTACCTTCTTTTTCTGGAAGGCACCAAAGGCAACAGCAGTTGTTTGGGGAATCTTTTGGACTCCCATGACCAATAACTCAAAAGGGAGTTTCTGTACCTAGCACTGTTTTTGCATTTTGTTTTAAGTCTATGGAGGTGGGCACTGCCACACCGATTATCATAGCTTTCATTCCGTGTGTGTGTGTGTGTGTGTGTGCACGCGTGCACGCACATGTGCATGCATGTGTGTGTAATTTTAAGCGACCATAAAATAATGTAACCTCCTATGGATTTTTCAACACCTAAATGTGAGCTGCATCCCTCTCTTCAGTTAACCCTAGTCTTGCTTGCTTGTTCCAAACTCAGGCCCTTGCACTACCCAAGGACTGTGCATAGACTTATGTGGTCGACTCGGTCACATCTCCCGCTGGAAAGACGTTACTGTCTCAGAGAAAGAAGCCTGCGTTTGGCCTCTCAGTGTAAAATAGCTCCACCAACCCTGAGGACACCCTGTGTTCTGTCATGGGCTCTCTCTTTGTTATGCTTATCACCATCTGAAAATAGTTCCTTTACTCTTAATATTTGTGCCTCCCATCTGTGTTGGTCATCTAGACTGGCAGTCCACGGAAATGGCCCTTTTTCTGTCTTGCACACAGCTGTGCCCAACACCTTGGTGTCATATGGCTGCAGGGTGCTTAAAGTGAACACCAGAGCTGTGTGATTGTGAGGGGCAGTACTAGCACTGTTCGGTTGATTTAAACACTACCAACTTGGTCTTGGTGAGGTTCAAAACAAGGATAAAATGATGGTCCTGATGGGATGCTCTCACATAGCCCGCTAGAATGAGCCTTCCAGATGGAGTCTGCTGCTCCTTACACAGAGCTGGCCTGCATTTTCTCAAGTAGCTTTTAGGGCTCTGAGACCTGTAAAAAGCCCCGGTAGGACAACATCTGCTCCTTCTATCTCACTTAGATTGTCGGCTTACAAATGAGTTTTGCACCACCGGGCACACGGTTTTAAGTAGGAAGGCCTGCTGCTACTCACAGAAATAGACAGGGCAACAGAGCCCACCTGCTCGGCTACCTCAGTTCCTAGGGTTCCTCTTACCAGCATGGAAGCTGTTCCCAGAGTGCCAGACAGGGGTGTCCATATGGGGACATGTTGGCACTTTTCATTAACTTTGGAGTTATAACACTCTTCCCTTTTTTTCTTTTTTAAGAGAAACTACTTCTTTATTTTGCTATATTCTTGAGAATTTCAAATACACACATATAGACACACAATGAAATATGACCATAGCTACATACCAATTTCCTACCTCTAACTCCCTCCATACATTTTCAACACATACATCCTCCTCCTAACGTCATATCTGTTTTTTAGATTATTTTTGTTGTTGTTTTGCATGTGTGCATACCTTTCTAAGTTCATCCAGTTTGTGCTGCCTATATATGTGGGGGGGGCACCTAGTGGAGCACGAGAAACCTACCAGTAGACAGGGCACTAAGATCTACCCATCCTCTCCTCCTCTGCCACCGTGTACTACTCATAGCTCCTCTGTAAGGGGTGGGGCCTGTCAATCATCTGCCCCATCTCTGCCAGGGTGTTGGCTGGCACCGAGGTACTCACATCCCTGGTCCGGGGCTGCTCTCAGTCTTGCCCAGAGAAGCCTCTTGCTGCAGTAAGTCGGTGGAGGAGATGCATAGCTGGTCCGAGTGCTGAGAGTGAGAGATGGGGTTCTAGGCCTAAGTGGGGGACATCTATCTATCTATACCGAGACTCAGGAGCACTGCAGAAGGGGCACACTGTGGGTGGGGTGGGGTGGGGGTAGAAGGCATGTAAGAGCCAGGGGATCGGGAGGACTGTGAAATGTGTCTTGTAGACATGACATGGCTATCGTATGCACACGTTCACAGCCACGGTTACCAACACACTGCCTGCATGGCTATCCATTTTCTTTTCCTGGGAACAACTCAGTTCCTTTCAAGAAGCAATGGAGACTTCATTTACAAAGCTGCTCGCACCTGAATCTGATTTCTGAAATGATTTTGAAAACTGAGCATACAGAACATAGAAACTGCATTTTCTCAGGTGGTCACCTAGAGGCGTTAAGATTGCCGGCATCACCTGTGATGGTCCCTATTAAGTCATAAAACTGTAGATCAGAGAAAGAAAGATCTGCATGGACTGAGAATAGAAGGCGAGCTGTCAGTCTGAGGATACTGACCGTTCAGGTTGATGGAGATGTAACGTTCCTGCCATCCTCACATAAACCTCGTTTGAGCAAACCTCCAAAGACAGTCGTCAAGAGTGCTCGGCTAGACTCTGCAATTCTCTGTCCTTAGCCTAAGGATCAGCCGGGAACTTGTCTCTGAAATCTGCCTGGCACCCACCCATGAGCATCCAGCAAATCATAGAGAACAAACACCATCCCTTGACAGTTCAAGGCCCCTGCAAATATAGGATGGCCTCCCCCTAGCATCGGCTCTCACAGTGCACAGTCTAGGAGATATAATACACCTCAACCCTGATTAAAGCCTTCAAAGTGCCCATCTAAGCTCGACCTTTTCACAAAAAGCAGGACGCGGTCTACGGAGCTGACTTCCTTACTGTTTTGCTTTTGGACCTGGGAGCAGCCAGGGCGGGAAGATCCCGCTTTTTGGTTCAGCCCTGACACCATTATCCAGCCATTAGCTGGGACAACCCTGCTGGTGGGTCCTGTGGCGGAAAGGCTTTCTGCCAGAGTGCCCATTCCCAGACCTTTGCAGTGATCCTGTGTGTCACAACAGAGGAGGCAGAGCACGCCCCCCCCCCACACACACACATGCACAGTCTGTAGAAGCGGCACAGTACGGGGTGCACAGAGAACCCACTGGGGTGTGGACGGCACACTCTTCATAACCACCAGCTGTTATTATCAAGGACACTCAAGGCAGCGTGAGCTCTGACACAACCGTCTGAGCCACTTTCAGACCACAAAGTCCACTGAGAGAAAAGAGATCATTTAACCTTCCCCAAACTACAGTTCCGATTGGTAAGCCAAGCATGAACTTGGTGGCTGAACTGCTTCCGGCGATCGTGGTTTAGAAACCTCTGTTCATCTGTGCATCATCCCAGGGTCTAGCCGTGTTGACCTGATGTCCCCATGCCACGAGAGCGTGTGTTCTCTTTGCCATTCACAGTTACTGTCTGCAGAACATACTGTTACTGGAGGCTGACTGAGAGGGGTTGGAAATGGCCAGACCGTCCGTGACTTGGCTTCCCGGAAGTCTGTGAGGTCAGATGACCTCCGTTAAGGGAGCCTTTCTCCTGTCCTCCAAATAACTTCCAGTGTTTGTTTTTTTCCGTTCAGGCATCATATCAACGTTTCTTCATGTTCACCCTTTCGGAGCCAATATAGAGTATCTGTGGTCATACATGCAGCAGCTGGACTCTAAGGTAAATTGTTTCTTTGACTGTACTTTCCCTGTTGGAATTTAGCATGTTGCCTGCTTGCTGCAGGCGGATGCCGTGTGAGCGGCATCAGTATAGAGCCACATAGCAGTGTCTCTCGGAGGACCCAGGGCTCTGGCAGGCAGCTGTCAGCTCCTTGCTTCTGTCTTTATATAAAGAAAAATCAGTTATTCAAAGTGACAATGACTTGTCACTGTCAAAAGATGCCCAAGTGCTTTGAAAAGCTTGGGAGAGACTGGAAAGTCCAGATTGGCCCGAAAGTTTCCAAGACCAGGAGGAAGGCGAGAGTGGCTAACGAGGCAGGTCCCTTACTTAGGCCATGTCCACGCAAGAGTCCATGTTAGAGACTTCACATGGAGGGACCATCATCGTCAATAGCTTAAAGATCTGATGGGATGGACAAGAAAATGCCATCAACAGCTGTTTTTAGCATTATTTTCTGAGTGTTAAAAAATAAAAAAAATGTCTGTCAAGTTATCCTCAGCTGTGTCCCTGCAGGGCCACCCTCAGCATCAGACGCTACCATGCCGTTTTTCTGAAGCTCCGCTTTCTCGTCTGATAATTAGCAGTGTTTTGGACAAATGCAAAGAGACAAAGGAAAAAGGTGAAATTTCTGTGTTAAGGTGAAAAGTTGAGAGGGGCTATTGTTGGCAAAGCCACACCGTTTACCAGGGCTGGCAGGGAGAGCCACAAGAGGGGTGATCACAGCAGCTAATGTGATAACCAGAGAGATCCCTGGGAGCCAGGGGAAATTGCCCTAAAGATGGGGAGAATAAATAGATGCGCCACCATCAGGGAAAGAAGAGGACACGGACCTTGTTTGAGCAGCCGGTCAGCCTGCAGCTCTGGGTCAGTGGTTAACAGGGATTACAGGATTACATCACCACGCAGCGTCCTCATTTGCTGCGGATGACATTACCTGCGCATGACCACACAGCAGCTTGATCTTTAAGTAAACCTGAGATTCCTCCTTGGAGAGGAATCATCTGGAGCTGCTAGTGGTTTTCAGTTGAATATTTGTGCCTTTTTATGAAAGACGAAAGGAGTTAGATTGTAGGCTTTAAGTATTTCCCATTCATGCATATTAATTGTACAGATTAGGGCAGTTTAGTGTGGTATTTTCCTAAATTCTCGCAGTGTGGATTGATCAGCTACTCTAACGTTACCTGCTATTCCACTTAACATCAAATGCCTGGTTCCAGATTGTAGAAGTTAGCTCAATTCGGGAAATAACCAGGCTAGCTAAAAGATAAAACAATTATAGTTTTATTTATTATAAGGGGAAAACTAACGAAACAGGAACGAGAAGTCCAAGCTCAGCTGTGCTGCGAGGGAGCCACAGAGAGAGAGAGGAGAGAGAGGAGAGAGAGCGAGCGAGCGCATCTGGGCAGAGCACCCATTTCTCTCTGGGTCCCAGAAAGCCACACCCTAATTTGGTCCCACCTCTTAAAGATAATTGGTTAACAAAGCTGCCCTATCACCAGATGAGTGAGGTACAGCACCTGCCTCTCTGTGCTGGTGTATATATACACTGA